AAAAAAAAAAAAATCAAAAAATTAGCCGGGCGTGGTAGCGCACGCCTGTAGTTCCAGCTGCTTGGAAGGCTGAGGCGGAAGACTCGCGGAGCCCAGCAGGTGGTCGCTGTGGTGGACGTGAGCGTGCCACTGCACTTCAGCCTGGGCAACACAGCAAGACCCTGACTCAAAAACTAACTAGCTAAATGAATAAGTAAATAAGTAATACTGCATGTGGTTTAAAAAAAAGTCAAACGGTGCTCTGGAATCCAAAGTGAAAACCTCTCCTTCAGGTCTGGCCCAGGCTAAATCCGCGAGGGCAGGCAGGTTCTTCACACAGAGCCCCCCGGCTCCACACACCCCTTGCTGAGTTAGGAAGAGGGCTTCCTGGGCCTAAAAGGAGATCTTCCGAGAATGGCTTCAGGGCCCTCACACCTGCCGTTCCTCTTGGCTGGACGGCTCAGAGAGCGCCCTCCCATCCTGTCCCATCCTGCCTCTCTGCCTTCACTGTTGCCTGGCTCCCCAAGGGAGGTGAACTCCAAAGAGATTCACTGCTCTGCCCCGTCCCTTTACATCAACACCCAGCACACAGTAGACACTCAGTGTTTACTGACTGAACAAGCAAATGTGGGATCCCAAGCCTGCACCCTGACGGGGCCACAGAAAACGTTCAGAGAGAACTTGCTGAAGGAATGGATGAAGGTGTGGCCAGACGAATGAAGGATCCATTCTACTCTGTGGCGACCGCTGGAGGCAGAGGGCAGGCGTGGGGCGTGGGGGCTCGGGAGAGCAGGGAGATGCCACGCCCCAGGCCAGAGTCCATGGGAACCCTTATCACCCCGGCAGGGCTGGGCAGTGAGGTGGCACAAATCTGTTGAAGGCGGGCGTCAGGACATGCACTCTGGGCCTTCCAGGCCAGGGTGATGCCAAGCCCCACCTCAAGAAGTCGGGCTGGAACCACGGGGTTTGGAAAATCAAGGTCTGTTCCCCCTGAGAATGGGGCGGAACTGGCTGGGCCTGGCGGCTTATGCCTGTCATCCCAGCACTTTGGGAGGCAGAGGCGGGAGGATTGCCTGAGCGCAGGGGTACAAGACCAGCCTGAGCAACATGGCGAGACCTCGCCTCTACAATAAATCAAAACATTAACCGGGGGTGGAGGCACGTGCCTATGGTTCTAGCTACTTAGGAGGCTGAAGCAGGAGATTGCCTCAGCCCAGGAGGTCGAGGCTGCGGTGGCCACGAGCGTTCCACTGCACTCCAGCCTGGGCAACCGCATGAGACCCTGACACAAAAAAAGCGGGGGCGAGGGGGGCACGAACCTCCCTGGGCACACAGGGCTGCAGACAGGTGGTCAGCAAGGAGGAAGTGAGCAGCAGCTTCCTGGACCACTTGCCAGAGGTGGGCTTGTCGCCAAACAGTCACTTCCCCTTTGCCTTGGGCCTCGTCCAAGGGGCTCAGGGGAGCAGGACCCTAAGACCCGGAGGCCAGAAGTGGAGGCCAGAGACCCCTGGGAGAGGCCCGGGGCTGCAGGACTTGTCCATGCTCCACTCTCTGTCGAGGGCTGGGAGTACATTGGCCCGTCCACCTGCCACCTCTGCCTGGGAGCTGCAGGCTGGGTCAGTGAGAACATAATTGCGACTGGGCAGATGTCTCTAAGAGTACAGGGGCTGTGTGGTGCCGCCCAGGCCTGGTCTGGGGTCCGGAAGCCCCCAGGGTGGTACAGCGCTGAGGACTGCAGGGCTGGGGAGCGTCTGGCCAGGCTGGAGAGTGGGCGGGTGGAGGCAGAGGGCAGAGCCAGATCAGGAGACGCTTGAGGCCAGGCACAGATTCCCGGCTTGCTTGCTCTCTCTCTTTCACTCTGAGTCATGGTCTCACTCTGTCACCCAGGCTGGAGTGCAGTGTCACAATCGTGGTTCACTGTAGCCTCAACCTCCTGCACTCAGGTGATGTTTCTGCCTCACCCTCCCAAGTAGCTGGGACTATAGGCACACACCACCATGCCACTCTGTTTTATTTTTTTATATATTTTTTTGAGTTGGAGTCTCAGTGTCGCCCAGACTGGAGTGCAGGGGCCGCTCCCGGCCACCGCAGCCTCGACCTGCTGGGCTCCGGCGATCCTTCCGCCTCAGCCTTCCGAGTAGCCGGAATTACAGGCATGGGCTACCACACCCGGCTGATTTTTTGATGTGTTGTAGAGATGAGGTCTCGCTGCCCAGAGCGAGTCTCGAACCCGCGGGCTCAGGCAATCCACTCACCTCAGTCTCCCAAAGGCGCGGGATTACAGGCTGAGCCACCGAGCCCGGCTTGTTTTATTTTTTGTACAGATGAGGTATCACTGTGTTGCCCAGGCTGGTCTCAAGCTCCTGGGCTCAAGCAATCCTCCCACAGTGCCGGGATGACAGGCATGAGCTACTGTACCTGGCCATCCAGTCTCTTCTGTGCCTTCCAGTAGTATCCAGCCAGGGCCACAGGGAAGCCCACAGACAGAGGGCCAGGTGGGACTGCCTCCCGGGGCTCTGGACGCTTTGAGAAGCCCTTGTTTCCTCTGCGTGGTGGGCTCAGCTCCACAGAGGGCCCCGGCCTGGCCTGGACACAGCCAGGCCGGGCTGGTACCCTGGCCTCCACTCCAGTCTGGCAGAGCTTTTTCTGGGCCTTGCCTTCCCACAGGCCTTGTCCTGGCTTGCTGTCTCACCCAAGGATGGCGTTTCCCCTGTGACTTTGCCAGATAAGGTTTCCTGTGTGTCTGCCATCCATTGAACACCAGGCCTGGAGGTGGCCCCTCCTGGCTCCCAAACAGCAGGGTCTCATGGGTAGGCAGCACCTTGGCCAGGAGAAAGCTGTTCAGTGCTTTGGAGACTGGGGTATCTGACCTGAATTCGGGGTAAGGGGGTCAGGTTCCCAAACAGGTTTGGAGGACGCACAGCTATCAGCCAGGAGCACAGGGGGAGGGGCCTTCCTGGTAGAAGAGCCACCAGGGGTAAGGGTCCAGAGTGAGGGGATGCAGGCACCCAGGGACGGGGGCTAGGGGGGGTGCCGGAAGCAGGCTAGATGGGGATGGGATGAGATGGAGCCATAGAACAGCTGGCATATTGTGCTGGGTTTTTTGGGAGGGCGTCTCACTCTGTCGCCCAGGCTGGAGTGCAGTGGCACGATCACAGCTCACCGCAGCCTTGATCTTCTGGGCCCAGGAGAGCCTTCAGCCTCAGCCTCCCAGGCAGCTGAGACTATAGGTGCACACCACCACCCTGGCTAAGTTTTTAAGTTTTTGTAGAGACGATGTCTCTCATGCTGCTCAGGCTGTTCTCAAATGCCTGGGCTCAAGCAATCCTCCCGCCTTGGCCTCCCAAAGGGCAGGGATTACAGGCACCAGCCGCTGCGTCCGGCCTTGTACTGGGTTTTTGACCAGACTTGCCACTAAAGGGGAAACTAGGGAAGGACTTCCATGACCAAGCTCCATGGGGTGACTCTGAGCTCAGAGCTTCCTAGGTCGCCACTCCTAAATTCCTAACCATGGAGGAGCCCTGACTCTGAGTCAGGGGAGGAGTAGCCGGGTCTGCCCCCTGGCCAGGGAAGCTGCCCCGACAGCCTCAAGTATAAGGACACAGAAGTCTGGGTCGGCAGGCCAGCTGGGGTTGCCCAAGAGAAGCTCAAGAGAGGCCAGCCAGAGGGCCAAGGCAGGCCTCGTATTGGGTCCCTGCCTGGAGGAGGTGTTCAGCCACCGCGGCTGA